ATACTGTATCCTCCTGCGTCACACAGATACTCCAGTGTTTTTTAAGTCTGACTCTACCTCAACTACCTCTCAACACAAGGACTGGCATCCATCTGACCTCACTGCTGCACATTCCTCACTCACATTGTTCTCGTGTGTTCGTGTGTGTGTGTGTGTGTGTGTGTGTGTGTGTGTGTGTGTGTGTGTGTGTGTGCGTGTGCGTGTGTGTTGTTTTTATACTCGAGGCAATTGTAACGAGAATCCCCCAACTACTGACAACTATTTCTTTGAAGACCTGAAAGTTACATTCACTGGATATCTTTGAAAATTTTTGTGATAACATGTATTCAGGGTTCAAGAAATCACCAAGTTAAATGATATCACATCGAGAGAGTGTACACCTTAGCATATATAGAGGCCTTGTTAGTGATATGCAGAAGACAACAGATGAAACCTTTTTTAATTTACTAACTATTCTATGGTCATTCCCCGCTAGGCTTGTGTGTGTGTGTGGGTGGGTGGGTGGGTCGGGGGACGGCTCATCTCTCTCTCTCTCTCTCTCTATTCCGTGTTATTAATATCTGCCACGCTTATTATATTTACTCCTCTTCCACTGAGATGAATCAAGGAACACAGCAGAAACTCAAAGAAAAGAGGAGATTGGAAAGGGACGTAATAAAGAAAGTGAAAATAAATTGCAGGGGTAGTAACTGTGGAGGAGGAGAATTCGAAGAAAATAAATAAGAAGAAAATTCGTTAAAAAATGAGGAAGACAAGAGTAGGTAATAAAAAAGGAAACATATGAGAGAAGCAGAGGAAGATGAACACTTAAGTGAGAGATATGATTGAAGAAATGAGAAAGATGAGAATAAGTGAAAGAAGACAGAAAACCGATAAATTATGAGAGAGAGAGAGAGAGAGAGAGAGAGAGAGAGAGAGAGAGCCGAGTAAAGGAACCCACAACACAAGATGACACTGACAAAGAATAAGAAAACGCCCCAGGAGTCACCCACAGCCTCAACACCTCACCTCCCTGCCAATTCTTCACCATATCTGAACAATGACGAGACAGAAAACGTAAAATTCATGACTTGTGATGTAATGTACTTTTTTTCCCTCTTTTTTTTTTCTCACTAACTAAAAAACTTTATGGTCCTCATAACGAATGTAACAAGTGACTCAAAGTAGCTTATTTGTTTTCATATAAATTCGAAAATACAGATGATGCTGAAGTCGGCTTAATGCGCCACACATGTTTGTTATATTTTCGAAAGCCCCCAGTCCCTGTATTTAAGGTATTTAGTGATGCTTATTAATGAGAGCGTCCGCGTTCTTGGGAGGGAGAGGGGAAGAGGGAAGGAAAGGGTAAAGGAGATAGTGGAAGGAAAGGAGGGGGGGGGGATGGATGGAGGGAGAGGGAAGGACAATATCTCTGCCAAGTTTCAAGATAATCTATTCACATCGTCAGGAATTATCGTATTCGCATTAAGGTCTGGCCAAGAGTGCATGTGGGAGATGACAGCGAACGATGCTCTTATAACACGGAATATATTTTTTTATTCGAGATTATGATAGTTTTCTGTGATTCTAATTTGACTTTTAAAGTACCCAACATGCCAACACGACTGACGTAATTTTTTCATCAGTTTTACATCATCATTGAGTGTGTTCCTTTCTTTTGACTAATGAACACAATGTAAAGGAGTCTTTTAAATACTTTATCTCTCTACATCATCATTATCCTCCAGTTTTCTTCAATTCCTTCCTAAGACAATACTTCCATCTCAATCTTCGTCTTCCTTCACCTCTTCCACCAATACATCCGTTCTCCTCTCTCGTCTTTACTCCTCCACTTGCTTCACATCTCCCGCCCACCTCGGTCTACCCTTCATTAAATTCCATTCTATACCAATCGTGGGTGTGTGTGTGGTGGGACTGCTTGATCCGGGGATGACAGTAAGAGCGGGCCGGGGGCATGTGTCCAACACCTCCCTATAGACGATGCTAAACTCTATTATACTTTGCGTACTGACTCTCTCTCTCTCTCTCTCTCTCTCTCTCTCTCTCTCTCTCTCTCCACTACTAGGATCAGGTGGCAGTGTATAATGAGATAAGTTGGTGAGAGCTATAATGAGACAGGCTGGTAGTCCCCTTTATAATGAAATTCCATCACCTTCACATAGTTAGTTGATCAGTTTCCAGGTGGATAACTTTTCCTATTACACCATCAGGAACGTCTCCACCCCCCACCCTATCCTCCACGGTCTTTCAAGGATCTCTCATTTTGCCGATTATATATTATAGTTCCAGGGTATGTGTATGTGTGTGTGTGTGTGTGTGTGTGTGTGTGTGTGTGTGTGTGTGTGTGTGTGTGTGTGTGTGTGTGTTGTGTGAGAGAGAGTTTCGTTAATGCTCAGCAATTGTTGGTAATTATTGATAGTTTATCCGCTAAAATACTCACTGGAATCAAACACTACTGATATCGTTGAGTGAGTGACGATTTTTCCCCACTAGTTAATGAGGTTAGGGAGCCTGATGACACAGTTAAATAATTACTCAATTAAAAATTAACTCTTGGCAACCCTGATCATGTTTACCTCGCCAAAGGCCACAACAGTTAATGAGCATCGTTTATATAGCAATTTTGGCTGCGTGAAACTCGACACATGATTGGTGGGTTTAAATGACGGTGGTAGTGTTCTGGCGGGATGATTGGAGGGGACGAAGGGGGATCCTAATTGATTGAGGGTATGATGTGTCGACCAATTAAGGAGCTTCGACGGGCGATTATGAACAACGTTTTTTTTTTTTCTTTGGGAAGTAACGGCAGTGACTACTAATTAATTAATGGGCTGATGTTGGTGTGGTGATGGTGGTGGTGGTGGTGATGGTGGGTGTGGTGATGGAGGTAGTGTGTGTGGTGATGGCGGTAGTATGTGTGTGTGAGGTGATGGCGGTACTAGTGTGGTGATGGTGGTGGTAGTGTGGTGATGGTGGTAGTGTGGTGATGGTGGTGGTAGTGTGGTGATGGTGGTGGTAGTGTGGTGATGGTGGTAGTGTCGGGATGGAGGTAGTGTGTGTGGTGATGGCGTTTTAGTGTGGTGATGTGTGGTGGTGGTGTGGTGATGGTAGTGTGGTGATGGTGGTGGTAGTGTGGTGATGGTGGTGGTAGTGTGGTGATGGTGGTAGTGTCGGGATGGAGGTAGTGTGTGTGGTGATGGCGGTAGTGTGTGTGTGTGTGAGGTGATGGCGGTACTAGTGTGGTGATGGTGGTGGTAGTGTGGTGATGGTAGTGTTGCGGATGGGGGTTGTATTATGTTTAATATTAAATAACACACACACACACACACACACACACACACACACACACACACACACACACACACACACACAAGCTACACACACACACACACACACACACACACACACACACACCAGAGAGAGATACAGCTAAACAATTAAGACAGAGAGAACGTGTATTGAGTGAAACATTGACCAGCTTGCAGGCTCAGCTAATTCCCGAATGCGTTTTTTTTAATTCACTCATGCACTCAATAGACCACAAGCCATTAAGAGTTTAGGATTACGGAACCAAGGCTACCACGGGTCGGCTCCCTCACGTTACCTAGAGTTCAGTGTTGAATTTAATTGTGTTATTCAGCTGAGAGATGAGGTTCGTCAGTCCGTCGGTTCGTTTGTCCGAGTCCATTTAGGGATCTCTGGTCGATGTAATTGAATATTATTATTATTATTATTATTATTATTATTATTATTATTATTATTATTATTATTATTATTATTATTATTATTATTATTATTATTATTATTATTATTATTATTATTATTATTATTATTATTATTGCCAGTTTTATCAGACCTTGTAGACCACTAGTTTATTTTCTTGTCTGCTCTCGACCGTGTACGTATCTCATAGTCTTTAGTTAAGACTTACTGTATATACAGTATATCCGTGAAAGTTTGTCACTGGAATAAGTGGGAGTAAAGTCGTTTGATGTTGAGCCAGGCCAGCGTGAAGATCAGCTTTCTCCACGGGGGAGTGAGTGACAGTGATGAGGTCGCGTATACACCTGCTGGGACACCTGAATTTAGTTAACTTTAGTTGAAATTGGTTCATCTTCATACAATAAGGTTATACAACAGTGTGATCTAAAAGTCCCTGTTCATTTGCAATAATTAACACTATAGTTGTTGTTCCTGTTATCCTTACGCTGTTATATACCCTGTTCTACTTACAGTAAATATTGGTAATAGTTCCCTTCCAACTTTTACTGAAACTATTTCCAATATTTACTATAAGTAGGAAAAGGTGAATAATTATATTTTTAATTATTGCGGGTGCACAGGTAAGGGACTTTTCTAACACCAAGTCTTATATTTGGAAGCGTGAGGGAGTGAGTGTGAGTGACCGAATAATGTTAACAATTACAGATAGACTCAGGTGAATATAACATGACTGAGACGTAATATTTTACTGAGTGACGTCGGGAGGATTTACAAGATGGATCTTTATGTAAATGCATGTTGCCAGACAGCATTATAATGAACTACTGAGACGTGGACCATGAGATGCCATGTAGATCACAACAGTGTTACCAAAACGAAAATTAATGAAACATAGATAATTATCGATCAAAAAATATCCTGACTGTAATGGTTAAGGTGGGGTCTAGTAGGATTCAGGTCTAAATAGAACTGTAGAACTGGGGTCTAGCAGGAATGGGGTCTGTTAGGACTGGTCTAATAGGACTGGGGTCTACTGGGGACTGGATATCGTTTGACCTGTGGCAGTATGGATGCTACCAAGCCTACCGTAATAATAATGTAATAACAATGAACTTCACTCATACCTCAGGACGTGGCTACACTGTCGTCCACACACACACACACACACACACACACACACACACACACACACACACACACTGGCCTGAAGGTAAACACGAGGACTATTATTATTACTGGTAATGTGTTACTGGTGAAGTTAACTTTTACTGGTGAATATGTTCAACGTAATAAATATAACACCAAAGAACACAATCACCAACATCACCAGTAAGGACAGTGCCACTAGTATCGCCACCAGTAAGGACAGTGCCACTAGTATCACCACCAGTAAGGACAGTGCCACTAGTAAGGACAGTGCCACAAGTATCACCAGTAAGGACAGTGCTACTAGTATCACCACCAGTAAGGACAGTGCCACTAGTATCACCACCAGTAAGGACAGTGCCACTAGTATCACCACCAGTAAGGACAGTGCCACCAGTATCACCAGTAAGGACAGTGCCACTAGTATCACCACCAGTAAGGACAGTGCCACTAGTATCACCACCAGTAAGGACAGTGCCACCAGTATCACCAGTAAGGACAGTGCCACTAGTATCACCACCAGTAAGGACAGTGCCACTAGTATCGCCACCAGTAAGGACAGTGCCACAACAGCACCAAAAGCCGTGTAAAATGAAGCCTTGTATACAGGGTATCCATTGGCAGAACGAGCCAATGATTCCTGGGGAGGAACTCGTCGACTGGGTGGTTAGGTTAGGTTAGGTTAGGCTCGGTTCGGTTCGGTTCGGTTCAGGGAAAGATTAGGTTATGATAGGTAATGTTCGTGGTAGATTAGGATTATATGTTAAGATATAGATTAACTTAAGCTACAGTCGGGTTAGATTAGTTTAAGTTAGGTTGTGTGACAGGAAGGTTAGGTTAATTTAAGTTCGGGTAGATTATGTTCGGTTATTATATGGGTCCAGATTCGGATAGCAACTTCTGGATAATTGTGTATTTGCTATTTTTACTTCAGTGGCGTGTGAAATGTATCGTATTCTAAAGTTAAATATATCATGCTCCACATCCATGGTAAACGCTCGCGTGTGTGTGTGTGTGTGTGTGTGTGTGTGTGTGTGTGTGTGTGTGTGTGTGTGTGTGTGTGTGTGTGTGTGTGTGTGTGTGTGTGTATGTGTGTGTGTGTGTGATAAAATTAGTGTTTAACTATACATGTGTGCGTGTGTATGACAGCATTGGTGATGAACTTTACAATGTGTGTGTGTGTGTGCGAGTGTGCGTGCTAGATTTACGTCAATATAGTACATTAAATCTTCAGAACTCTTGCAGTACACTGAATATGATATGTTTATGTTTATTCATGACCAAAGCCTTTCAAGAAATAACAATAAACATGTTTTAAATCTCTCTCTCTCTCTCTCTCTCTCTCTCTCTCCCTACACTAACACACATACACACACCTACATCACAGTACGTTGGTTAAATATTGTATTACCACACACATATTAACCTCTGCGTTTGTGTGATAGTTTTGTTTGCTTCATAAATATTCACCAGCTTGTAAATCCAACCGTAACTTGTAATGGGCTCCAGTGTAACTTGAAATAGGAACTCCAGTGTAACTTGTAATAGGGACTCCAATGTACCATAACTTGTAATAGGAATTCCAGTGTACCGTAACTTGTAATAAGAACTCCATTGTATCGTAACTTGTAATAGAACTGCAGTGTAACTTGAAATAGGGACTCTAGTGTACCGTAACTTGTAATAGGAACTCCAGTGTACCGTAACTTGTAATAGGGACTCCAGTGTACCGTAACTTGTAATAGGAACTCCAGTGTAACTTGTAATAGAAACAAATAGGCAAGACTTAAGATATCACAACATCAATATATTAACCATGATATCAAGAGAAGGTAATTGATCTCTTGAGTTCATATAACATACTCATGATATCTACTTACTCTGACATTATCTACTCGTATTTACTCTGACATTATCAACTCGTATTTACTCTGACATTATCTACTCGTGTTTACTCTGATTTTATCTACTCGTATTTACTTAAACATCTACTCGTATTTACTCGAACCATTAACTAAATGCCAAGTGTTCATACTCTCATCACGTTGATATGTTTACCTGAGTATGGTTCAAGCAGGTGAACTAGAGGCTCAGTGTAATTTCTATGTCATTTTAGATGTCATCTTTGTGTCGGGGCTTAAGTGAGTCTTTTGTTCTCACATTTCCAGTTAAATGCTTGATTTAATGGAGGAGCGACTCAGCCTGAAGCTCTTATACCGTGGAGATGAAGAACTTTTATAATGGAAGCTTATATGAGTGTGTCTATAGTTATATGACTGTCTACACCACTTATATGACTGTCTACACCACTTATATGACTGTCTACACCACTTATATGACTGTCTACACCACTTAAATGACTATCTACACCACTTATATGACTGTCTACACCACTTATATGACTGTCTAGACCACTTATATGACTGTCTACACCACTTATATGACTGTCTAGACCACTTATATGACTGTCTACACCACTTATATGACTGTCTACACCACTTAAATGACAATCTACACTTACACGACTGTCTACACATAACTCCCTTGGCAGCTTTGGTCTTCCTGTTGATAAAACACTGCAGCTTGATATGGTTCCTCTGGAGTATCTCAACTTATAGTGAAAATAGAAAATATTAAATTGGGTTTTAGGTTGAGAAATAAAAGACACATCCTACGTCCGACAGTGCTGATAGGCTGTCATACCGTGTGTCCTCTTGTGACGTTTAGTTTGGAGACGCCCGAGAACCACCAGTCGCCACACGTTGTCGATTAACCATAAAACGGTGTTGTATTCAGGGTGAGGGGGGGAGGGGGGAGGGGGTAAATTACTCTGCCTGGAGTTTTAACATTAACAATTAGAGACGTTTTCTGGGAAGTGTGGGAGCCCGACCTGTCCTCTAGGTACAGTAAGTAAATTATATCCTTATCAATATTGTATGACGACTGTTTCTTGGAAAAGTCAATACTGTACTAAAATGTGTGTGTGTGTGTGTGTGTGTGTGTGTGTGTGTGTGTGTGTGTGTGTGTGTGTGTGTGTGTGTGTGTGTGTGTGTGTGTGTGTGTGTGTGTGTGTGTGTGTGGCGCCTTAGAATTTATAGTTGTGTATGTATTTCTTTCTTTGATTGTTTGCGTATACCGACCTGTCTGCGGACATTTTACTTCTCCCGCTGTTGTACACACCTGGCAATTGCTAGTAATGTCTCTTGACTAGATACTTTTATAACTTTTATGTGACTTTGACAACTTTAGCAGTCTGAGGCTGAGGACAAAACTCCTTACAAACTTTCCACCCATTGATATCAACAAGTTTTGTCATTACACCGCCTTTGCATCACGTGATCTGTTTCAGCCAATCAGAAGCTCAGATGTCACTTTGTCTTTTGTTTACGTCACGTGATCTGTTTTGGCCAATTAGGAGGAAGACGTTTCATCCCTGGCAGTTATAACCACTGATGATTGGTTAAATATTAAAAGGTCACATTTGTCGGGTGTAATTCAAATGGGCCCCAGTTCTAATAGAGGTCTTGATGGGTCCCAGTTCTAATAGAGGTCTTAATGGGCCCCAGTTCTAATAGAGGTCTTGATGGGTCCCAGTTCTAATAGAGGCCTTGATGGGTCCCAGTTCTAATAGAGGTCTTAATGGGCCCCAAGTTCTAATGGGTCTTAATGGGCCTCAGTCCCAGTATTTAATTTATGCTTAGGTGTATTAGGAGAGGAACCTAATAGGATTAAGACCTATTAGGATTGAGGTCCACCAGGAGTGAGGTCTATTAGAACTAGGGTCTATTAAGACAAGGCAACATTTGGCCTTCACCATAAAACCTTGACCTAGACCCTAGACCTTAATCTTCACCCTAGGACCTTAACCTTCACCCTAGGACCTTAACCTTCATCCTAGGCCCTTAACCTTCACCCTAGGACCTTAACCTTCACCCTAGGACCTTAACCTTCACCCTAGGACCTTAATCTTCACCCTAGGACCTTAACCTTCACCCTAGGACCTTAACCTTCATCCTAGGACCTTAACCTTCACCCTAGGACCTTAACCCAACATCTCATGACTATAACTTAGTATTAAAATCAACCTGAACACCACAAAGGAATATTTTGGGTGCTTCTATCGCAATTGTGTGTGTGTGCGTTTGCGTGTGCGTTAGTGTGCGTTTGAGTGTGTAATTGTGCGTTTGAGTGTGCGTGTGTGTAAGTGGTTGAGAGATAGACAGACAGACAGACAGACAGACAGACAGACAGACAGACAGACAGACAGAGAGACAGACAGACAGACAGAGAGAACAGTGACGTATATTACGGCTTCAAAACAATAGAGTAAGACCAAAGACATTTTGAGTAGGGAATTTTCTCATCACTATTCTGGCAAGGTGTGAGTTGACCCACTTAATGGAGTGTCTGTCTGTCTGTCTATCTGTCTGTCTGTCTGTCTGTCTGTCTGTCTGTCTGTCTGTCTCTCTCTCTCTCTCTCTCTCTCTCTCTCTCTGCCATTCCTTTCATCACATTTCCTCACTTACGTCTATCTTACGTCGTCAACAGACCTTTGATGTTGTCTCTGCTTCAGCTTATGGTAAAATGGACCAAATTCTTCTCACATCTCATTTACATTACATTACGTCCCCTTACAAGCTCAACTCTTATCTTTCTTAATACTATCGGCCTCTTTAGTAAACTTGTTACCTATTTACTTCATAACTTCTATATCTATCTGTCTGTCTGTCTGTCTGCCTCTCTGTCAAAGGAACCATCAACCTGTAGACGTGAGGTGACAGGAGTTATGACCTCACATGACCTGGTGTTACCGCCACTGACACCATTTAAACTTTTTCCCTAAACAATATCCGGACAAGCAAATTTCCTTCAAGAATTTGTTAGGACAAGTAAATTTCAAACGTCACTTGCCAGGGTTAAGTAAAGTTTTCCACATAATCTGTACAACCTGGGTTATATCAGGTTAGGTTAGGTTAGATTAGCATAAGGGTTCATAATCTTCATGAGCTCCCACGTTCCCTTTAACAGCAGACCATTTATTTATCAACTGAAAAATAACTAAAAACTGGCATAAATTTCTCTCGTGTCCCGAGCCTCTCCATCGACACATGAGGCCTCTGATTACCCTCCGGAAGACACAATTCGTCATATTGGCACCATTAGCCTCACGGACCCCCCCTGCTCGATCTTTACCTTTCTGACGTGTTTTCGTAAGACATTCGTGGTCTCAAGGTTAAAAGGGCATCGTATATGAGGTAACTGTGATCATTATATTTGCAAAGTGTAAGGTCAAAGGGAAGGTCAGAGTCAAAGAGAAGGTCAGGGTCAAAGGGAAGGTCAGGGCCAAAGGGAAGGTCAGGGACAAAGGAAAGTTCAGGGTCAAAGGGAAGGTCAAAGGGAAGGGAAAGGTCAAAGGAAAGGTCAGGGTCAACGGGAAGGTCAGAGTCAAAGGGAAGGTCAGGGCCAAAGGGAAGGTCAAGGTCATGCCTCTAAGACACAGTATCATGAGTCACACGTTGGGGTCTCCCTCGGATGCAGCTCAGCCTGTGGTCGAGTGTTGTTTTTTCTGTTCTTACCGAGAAAAAAGTCA